AGCACTGGCTTGCAAACGACCAGAACGGTCCCCAAGGAAATGTGAAGGGACCGTGACCAACGAAACAACCTTTGACTGATTGGTATGGTTGAGGTAGAAAAAGGGTCAATTAGGCTCTTTATGGGCGCTACGGTGCTACTTGGGGACCCTGCATGCTGATTTTCCGGCACACTCTCAATCGCTGACTGTGACCTTCACTCGGCATGGTTCGTCCCCCCTTTGCTCGGAGGGCACTACGCTGTGGTCGGGGGTGCTATTTGTTACCCTGCTGGTGCACTCTCGGTCACTCAGGTGTCCTAAAGGATTTTTCCTATTCGCTCAAGAGTCCCACGCTGTTGCCACCTGTTGCCCTGTACGCTATGCTGCCGTGGCATCCGCATCTCGTGGCCCATTCGTAGCGGTTCTGGGTTCTTCCCATGTGCTCAGAAGTACGATTATGTGAACCGGCTGCGCCACCACCGATGGTTAAGGTGTCCTCCATGCTACTTTTGGGCCTTTCCAAAGCTTGAAGCGCCCTACGCTGTTTCCAGGGCTCTACCTGCTAACTTGGACCGTACCAGTCCACTGGGTGGTCAAGCAAGGCGGTCGCCATCCTTCTGCGCTGAAAAGGCTTATATTCGTCCATACTTTTATGCTAGTGTATGACATTATGTCTAATTTATATCTATACCAAGCTTCTAGACTGGATGGATTTGGGGAAGCAGTGTTTACTGTGATACTTTGATGTTACCATTCGATCGTGAACTTACTGGTCAACGGCGAGATTTCGCGGCAAGACCTTAACAGTGCCGCAACGCTCGATGCGGTCTGTTCTGCTCCCTTAAGTCACATGATCTTTGGTGCAGCCGCGGCACTGATCGCAAGTCATCCTAGTCAGGAGTAACATTCTGTGAAGTGACGACTTCTGGGAGGCTTTATGGTCCGCACTACCCTAAAACAACACGTCCCCCAACAATACGTATATTGATGCCTCTGGCAAAACGTCAAATCTCCCAATCAACGGCGATAAATAGCATGTAGTTGCACCTGACCGTGGTTGCGCTTGAGGCGCGTATGCGCCGTCACGCGGTCGGCGGTGCTTACGGGTATCCTCATGGAGTTTCCCCTGCTCGCGAGTATGAAGAGCTGATGCTTAACGTTGTTAGTAGTGAATGCAGCCTAGGAGCGCATAACATTCTTGGCAGAAAGCCCTGCTTCCAAGGCAATTCGGGCATCGCTTCGTCGTTGTCGTCGCTGAATGAGCCAGCAAGGGTCAAGCCAGCAAGGCTCGTTTAGTAGTGATGCGGCGCTGGACATTTTCTTTCGCTTGTTTGCATCCTATTTCAAGAGATTGTGATCGCTTTTGCGCTTGATTGTCATGCGCCGTTTTTCATGGCGAACAATTAATTCCTCCTTCAACATAGTATACGGAACAAAGCACACATGTGATATGCATCCCATGCCAGCATGAAATTACGAGACGGACGCTGTTGGGATTTCAACGCTAATCGAGGCCAGTCGGCCACTGACATTGCTCGGCAACATTCGGTAGCAACTGACTTCTCCAAGGACAGCTACCGTAATGGACGCCCAGTGGCTTTCCGCGCCCAGTAGTTTATCAGTCAGGGACGCTTACCATCGTCCGTTAATAATAAGCATCTCATTTACTTGTGTTGCTACCTTGCAATAAGGCTTCCCTTCAACGGAAACCTCATCTCTCTGCGATTAGCATGAGGGGACGGGCCCCTCCCCGACCTTGGTGGACGGGTGTACGGGGTCGCCGCTGACCACCGGGGCCGGCTGGGTAACACCTCCAGTGGCATGTGAGCGTTTCCGTCGCCATGGGCGTGGCTCCACCCAGTCAGCACCGGCTACAGCCGGTATATAACTGGCCGGCGCTGGGCCACAGGCATCACAGACACCAGCGAGTTCAGCCATGAAAGTCCTGGTGAGTTCGCGGCATCGCCACGTTTGTCATAGATATATATGATTTGAGATGCTTCGCTCTACCAGGTGCTTGGGTCCTTATAAGTATAATTCTACTAGTTATCGAACATTTCGAAAGAAATCTGACGCAGTGTCAAATCTTTTGTTTGTCTCACCAATCTCGCCATCGGGATACGTAAAATCAATCGTAGCATGTAACAGTGAGTAACAATATGCCTAAAATGTTTGAACGTGTCTTGCGAACTTTAAATGGATGCTGCCTTGCAGTTTTATTTGAAGAGCATGGTTTCATCATTAACCTCGGTATTCGTAGCTTGGAAAATCTGTGTAAAACCCATTTGCCAATGACGTCTGCAGCACCACTGTTTTTCCTTTTCTTCCAACCTTGTTTTCTTGCCTTTTAATTGTTTAAAATTGTATATGGAGAGCTCGCACTGTCTTTTTTCAGGTGGTGTCCGCTGTTCTGGCCGTTGCGGCTGCCCAGTACCTGCCTTACAGCGGGCTTGGTTACTCGGGACACCCGTACGCCGCGGATACCAGAAGAAGTTTTCTACCCCTACACTACCTACACTTCT